TATTAAATTTTAAATTAAAAATAAAGTAAAAATATTAAATGAAAGAGATAAATGTTGGAAAAATTGTTAAAAACACTCTAAAAAAATTACAAGTGAAACTTTACTCTTTTTTTTAACAATTTCTCCATCTTATACTGAAAATAAAATCAAAAAAATTTTAAATTAAATATATTTTTAAGTAATTAAAATACTTAAAATATACTATAATTATTCTCAATTTGATCATTGATCAAATATCGATGTTGATCAAGCATTCCTAAATTTATAAATTAAAAAAATAAATAACACTTAATTTTATAAGCACATTTATCTATATCATATTTCAATAATGAGTTTAGTGATCGTATATTTTATACTCAATATTATCGTTGAATAATAATAATAATAATAACTTTTATAACTATTAATAAAGAGAATATTTTCTTGTGGTATTTATATTTTTTTAGATTCTTTTATCCTTCAACTAATATTTACAATTATCCATGGTTATAAAGTTATATGCACATTCTCATTTTATCATCTCTTTATTATTATTATTATTATTATTATTTTTACTTTTTAAAATAATGGTGAGGCACATAGTGCTTTATTTCTCCCTAGCTAGTAATAATAATAATAAACTGCAAAAAATGGATTTGGTATATAACAACTTAATATTATATATATTGACCAATTATTTTAATAAGTACATAGCATGAAATGCAGACAGTCATATGGTCAAGGTACTAGTTGTATCAAATAGTAAAGTATCGTTGAGTAGGACCATATATTAGACATGAGATACATAATCCTTTAATTGTCGAGGATTTGGATCCATGGTTGCAAACATTAGGAGCTCATTGTCTTGTTGCAATATGGCCATCTCATCTTCATTTAAATAAACCCAAACTTCAATACCTTTTCCCGAAGGTGTATCCATCAGGATGACCAAATCACCAAGTGACTCTGTGAGGACCCCATTTTTTTCATTTCCCATTTTCATCCTTACTCATTTTTCAGCCTCACTCACTCTTCCTTACACAACTCATTTTCTCTCCAAACTCTCACTTCTCCTTTTCTCTCTTTTGCTTGTGGCGATTCTTGGCAGCTGAAGGTGCATAGGGGGTGTGAACTGATTCCTCATGCTGATTTCTTCTCCGTTCACTTCCAAGCTTCTCTTCTCCTTCATTCTTTTCTTCCCGAAGCTCGGAATCTTCACCCGAGGTAAGGGAAGCTAGTAAATTTGGCTGTTTTCGACTCAAAATGGGTCTTAGGTACTTCTATATTTCTTGTTGTTGGATAATTTCTGGCAGAGAAGGGTTCAAATGAAATTTTGGGGTTTTCGGAGCTTTGAGGAAAATTTGGGGTTTTTGAAGATTTGTGGTTGCATGTTGAAAATGAACTGTTTTTATTGATGTTTGATGAAAATGGGAGATATTGAATGGTTTGCATGTTGGATTTCTGTTGAGTTATGCAAATTTTGGTTAAATTTTTCGAAAATGAAGTGTTGCTGCTGAGCTTCGCGCTGAGCGCTGTTCATCGCGCTGGGCGCGTGGCCACCAGGGGACCCCATTTGGCCAAGCTCGCTAGGCGCAATGATGAGTGCGCTGGGCGCGTTTGAGAATGTGGGTCTCTGGTTGGCCCGCGCTGAGCGTGACTTGGATCGCGCTGGGCGCGATACTCGTTGTAACTTGCTTTTGGTTTCTTGAGGCTGCGCTGAGCGCGACCCTTGTCGCGCTGGGTATGGGACCCCTTGGGAGTCTCTGTCTTGTGGGCACTAGGCGCAATTCCGAATTGCGCTGGGCGCGAGACCAAGGGGTGGTCCCTGCCTTCCCCGCGTTGAGCGCTGGGTTAGGTACGCTGGGCGCATGAGACTCCTTTGAGTCTCTGCCTGGTCAGCGCTGGGCGCAATGGCCATTAATTGCGCCAAGCGCGAGAGAGCCTTGGGTTCTCTGGCTGAGTCCCGCCGGGCTCGGGCACACCTGCGCTGGGCGCACTGACCCCCCTGGTGCTCTCTGGTTGCGTTGCGTTGGGCACAACCACGTGTGCGCCGGGCACGGAGATGAGATTGTTGTGTATGATGTTTTATGTTGAGTTGAATTGAAATGGAAGGTTATGAAATGATGTCTAGTAGATAATGTTGTTGTTGATATTGAATTGTATCTGGTGAATGTGTTGAGAAGTGGTGTTGTGTTGTAGATGATATGTTGAATTGTGAAGCTGATGTGTTGAGTTGTATAGTTGTGCAGTGTTATGTGATGACTGAATTGTTGTAGGCCTAAAGGGCTGAGTTGTTGTAGGCCCAAAAGGCTGAGTTGTTGTAGGCCTAAACGGCTGAGTTGTTGTAGGAGATCTCCGAGTTGATATGCGTGACGACGCATTGCATGCTTATTGATGATCATGTTGAGAACCGATGGGATGTATGTTGATGAAGTGTTGATAGTTGTAGTTTTTTTTATTTCCTAAATCTTTCTATATGTTGTTCCTTTTTATGCTAGCTTACCCTTTGTGTTTTCATGTAGTTGGACTGCTATGATCATACTATGTACGGGAGCAGAGCAGGGATAGGTGGTGGATAGTGGTGAGTCGGTAGCTGATAGATGGAGCTGACTTCTATGGATGTTTTGTTTGTTTTGGTCACTTGGCATAGTGACTTTTGATGTAATTCTTGTATTGCATGCCCTAACTCTAGTCGGACTCGGGACATATGTATATATTTATATTCTAGACTCTATATTTATATACTTGTTCTACTCTGTCTAGTGTTTCCGGTGTGTTATGGTGGTGAGTGTAGTGGTCAGCCGGGTCATTACAGACTCAGCAAAACAAGACACCCAAATTGGCTTTCCCCATCCAAAGTCAACATCATAAAGGCCAAAATTACACCAACTCGTATAACAAAGATAATTGTACTCATTGCAACCCTCAAAATTGTTTCCATTACCTGTTTTAAACTTTCACGAAAATTAACAACCCCTCCTTCATCTTGGAAGCTTTTCACAAAGTAATTGCTTCCCTAATTAATTTAGTTACCAATTTAGGTAACTCATCATTTCACTACAATACAAATAGGTTTTAGTAACATTTAAAAAATGTTACTTAATTATGTATAAATATTACTAATTAATTTTAGAAAAAAATTATCAAATGTTGTATATAGTTCATGTTACTAAAGACTTTTAATAATATTTTTATATAATTAGGCAACATTTTTCAAATATTAACAAAGTAATATTTTTGTAATATTTTAATAATGTTGCCAATATTTTATTAATTTTATAAAATAATAATTAATTTTAATTTATATATATTAATATCAATTAATATATTTTTATGTCTCTTAAATTCTTAAGAGTTCTTTGAGAGAAGATTAAAGACATTCTTAGTCAATTACCACTTATTATATATAAAATATCAAATTTTATTTATCTTAAATATAACTATATGATTATATATACTCTTTATGAATCATTAATCTATTCGATGTAGAACTTTAATTATGGATAATAATTAGAGATAAGAGAAATTTACTTTTTTTTACTCGATGTGAGACTTTGATTTTATAAAGAATTATAGTAGCATTTTTCAAAAAAAATGTTGCAAAATAATCTATGTGAAATTTTTTTACTCGATATGGGACTTTGATTTTGAAAATAATTAAAAAGAATAAAATTGAAATAAAAAATGTTACTCTATCTATAATAACATTTTTTTAAAAAGTGTTGCAAAATAATCTATTTGTTTAATATATAGTAACATTTTAACAAATGTAAATAAAAAAAATGTTACTAAATAATTAAAATCTAGTAGTGTTTGCCCTCATTAAAGCCGTGGCCAGCCAAACAAAGTTTCCCACACGAGTTTGGAAAATTAGGAGATGCCCTTCGACGCATGTTTATTGTATGAATCACCGAAGTTGGCCTCTCTAAACCAGATTTGGCCTTGGAAGCTTTTGCAGCATATTTGCATAGAAGGGATGCTACCACCTTCACTCGAGTAGGGTTTTGCACGGTTGAACTTGACCCTTGAGCCCTTAACCTCGAAATAGCTTTTTCATCAAACAAAAACCTCCTCGTAGCAAGCCTATCCTTGTTCAGAAATTGGCAACACAAATGCATCGCATTCTTGTCTTGTGGCCATGCATTATTATGGGGGAAAGGGGTGTCAAAGGTAGGAAATTCAAATGCATGTTGAAACTCACTGATACGAGAGTTAGAACCCCAATTGTTTAAAAAGAAACTCGCACCTGCTCCATCTGCTACCATGTGAGATATCAAGGTACCGACCGCCATTCCACCACATGCAAAACAAGTCACTTTTGCCATAGTTGTGTACCCTTCAGCTGATACTTCCATGATTACTTGCTTTGGAAGGAGTTTATAGATTAATGATGATAAATTAGGTTGGTTGAAAAATTCAGCAAGGCTACAACTTACTTTGGCCTCCGTGAAGTGAACCCCTTCGTCGTTACAATCGACGGTAACCTTATCTTTAACCCTTCCAGCGAATGGGTAAAAGAGATTCAAGGCTTGTGATAAGGATTCCTTTAATTGTTTCATTCTTTGTTGTGTGATCATATCAGTGATGGCTTGAGTATTATGATCATTAGAGTAGAAAAGCAACATTGGAATATATATAGAAGGCACGAGTTGGTCTAAGATTGAGAGCTTATGGGATTTTGGGTGTGTTGTTGGGCAAGAGGGTTTGATGAACTCGAGGAGATTATTTCAACTTCCAAATTCTCGGTTGATGCAAAGGTGATTGTGAAAGAAAGTAGCATAATCTATTCTCTCATTCTATATGCATATATAAGAAGTTAAATTGTCAAACTAGATTTCTTTTCATTATCTTTAACATGTTATTCATTATTGTTCATAATAAATTTGAAAAAATATTTTTTAATGTGGCTATGAAATACTCCAACATTGTTTTTTCTCTCACGACTATATCTTAAACAACTAAGTCAAAGACTAATCTTCCTTATAATACTAATCATTGTTTAAGCATTTCAGTACTTCATTAAAGTTTTTGAAAATTGAGAATTCTTAGTTTTTTAAAAAGATAAATACTAATCATGTGAATACAGGTGAAAATATGTACCGGAAATTGTTAATATAAGTAGATTCACATTTGTAATCTTTAATTAAATACATAGTATTTAAACTTGTTTTTAAAAAATTATTCAGTATTATTATTTCCCAGATTTCTATGATTCTTTTCTTTACTTCAATAAATAAGCAATGAAACCACGTCATAGCTAGGAAGTATCAAGAAACAAAATCTCCTCTAAAAAGCAAAGACTAAGAGGTCTCAGTTTGAGTGGCTCTTCTCGTCCACAAAACCAAATGCCATTTACAGAACATACCTAAACGCTTTCAAATTCTTCCACGGTTACATCCTCCCACAAATCTACACATGCCAGCGTGTCTTCGTGGATACTCCAATGTCCAAAGTTTATAATAGTAATATAATTAATTAATTACTGAAAATGTTCAATTGGATTGATTTATATTAAGCAAGTATACAACGAGTTGGATAACTTTTGCATCCTTCATGAGATTGATTGGCAGAGATTTGAGAAAATAGAAAATTTGCTTTTACTCTGTCTAATGGCATACCTATATATATAGAAATTTCTTTCAATTCTATATATAGAAATTTCTTTCAATTTTTCTATACTAATCTTAAAAAAGCTATTTTTGACGATGATTTGTGGTTGGTTACCAGCAGTCACAGATCTAAAAAAATTTAATTGTGGGGGTAATTTAATGAAATATATAAATTTATAATACCAATTATCTAATATAAAGTACAACTAAAGAGTGAAGTTATCTTATTATAGTTATAATATATAATCAAATAACTATTTGACTATTTATCTTCTATTCATTTTTTCATCCTATTTTTTATGATATTCATAAAAAGGATTTATTTTTATAAAAATTAGAGAAAAAAGAGACACATAGTATCTCTTTCTTTTAAAAAAAGAAAGAAAAAATAATAAGTTATTTAAAGCGCGAGAAATTTAAATACTACTAAATATCACAATCAAGTAAAAAAAAAAAGAGAAAAAATAAATAAATAATAGATAAATTAATTTAAAGATAGTTATAAGGATAAATTAGTTAAAAATTTGTGTACTCAAAAAATGAGTATCTCCTCTATTAATTATATGTTGTGTGATAATTATTCTATTTATTATTTATTTACGATGATTAATTCGATAATTTTTCTTAACTAAAATACAAAAAAAAAACTAAAAATAAATAAATACACTAACAATTATAACATATAAAATTAAAAGGATTCAAAAATTAAAATAAAAAAACAAAAAAAAAACTGAAAGTAATTATTTTAATAAACTAAATCACGTTATCTTTATTATTATAAAGCAAGGAATTTTCATTAAAAATAAAGTATATTAATAAAAAAATTTAAAAGATAATTTTAACAAAAAAGTGAAGAAAATTGTTTATTAAAATAAAAAGTGAGTAAAATATTGATATACAATATATTAAATATAAGAAGTGGATAATTAAAATATAATAATAATAATAATACATATAAAATTAAGAAAGTGTGAAAGCATTTGCCCCACTCTCCCTGCTATAAATCCGTCCCTGTTTACCGGTGTACTCATTAAACTTATTTAATATAAGAATATAATAAAATTTTAATATTAAATATTATTATGTATTTTGCATTATATATATATATATATATATATATATATATATATATATATATGTTATAAAAATATGTAAAAGAAAGATATTAAGAGAAAGAAGACGACACACAAATTACGTGGTTAAGTCAATGTGACCTACGTCTACGGGCAGTTCAAGAGTTTCTTATTTTTGAATGAATAGAGATGATGATACAGATGTCTTTTAGCCTTATAACAATGATAAAATATAACAGCCTTATTACAACCCAAATAAAGATAGAAATAGTAACGAAAAAGATCAACAATTCTCCACCTTGACTTGAATTTTCCCAAGTCACCAGTAACCAAGAACAATTCTCCTGCCTATTCTCCCCAAAGGGTCTCAAGCGATGCGAACATTCACCAAGTCCAAGCTATGGTTAAACCTTTCAAAAGACAAAGGTTTAGTAAACATATCTGCTGGATTGTCTACAATAGTTATCTTTTCTATGGAGAACAATTTGTCTTCAATTACATCTCGTATGAAATTCAATCTGACATCAATATGCTTTGATCTTTCATGATAGACTGGATTTTTCGCCAAACACAAAGCACTTTGACTATCACAATAAAGTATACGTCTCTGCACATTCAAACCCAAACTATCAATAAGACCTTGCAACCATATACCTTCTTTAACCCCCTTCTGTCATAAGTCTTGCCTTGAACCTGGATGGTTCAACACCTGGAATCCCTTCTTTCCTTTTTAACACCCATTTGCATCCCACAACTATGACTGATGATGTAAAGAAAGCGATATTGGAAAAGGCGCACAGTTTGATTCTCTTGAGTTTGACTGATGAGGTTCTACGAGAGGTAGGTGAAGAGACAACGGTTGCAGGGATGTGGAAGATGTTGGAAGATAAATTCCAGAAGAAATCCCTAACCAATCGGTTGTATCAGAAGCAACGTCTCTATACCTTGCAGATGTCAATATGTTTGTGAGAGATTATCTTGATAATTTTAACCGAATTATCTTGGACCTACAGAGTATTGGAGTTAAAGTTGATGATGATTGATGAGGATCCAGCTATTATTTTGTTATGCTCTCTCCCAAAATCATATGAGAATTTTATTGATACTGTTGTATGGCAGGGATAGTATTACTCTCAACAATGTGAAGGACAGCTTACAATCTAAAGAATTGAAGAAAAGAGTAGTCTCTAGTTCTAATGTGGATGATGTAGGTCTGATAGTTAGCAGAGGCAGAAGCATGGAGAGAGGAAATAGTAGCAAGGGTCATACACGCAGTAATTCACTTTCAAAGTCAAAGAAAGTGAGATGTTACAAATGCAAAGAGGTGGGGCACATAAGGAAGAATTGTCCACAACTGAAGAAAAATAGAAATAGTAACACCAGTGTAGCTGTTGTTCGTTCTAGTGCAAGTGTCTCTGGTGAGAGTTCAGATGAAGGAGATGGCGGAGATGTTTTGACTGTTAGTACTATTAGTTTTGCTGATACATGGGTCATGGATACCGGAGCTTCTTATCACATGACTTTTAACAGGAAGTTGTTCATACCACTTATTGAGCATGGTGGGTAATTTATCCGGACCCTCCAGTGCTGCAACATAACCCTGATGCACAAGAACTGCTTTCATCTTCAATTTCCACAAAGTGAAATCATTCAATCTATTGAATTTATCAATATTGAATTTGTACAAAGACATTGCGTTTTCTTCAGATTAGGCCCTAGCGTAACCTAGAGCTCTAATACCAATTGTTATGACAATATGTAAAAGAAAGAGATCAAGAGAAAGAAGACGACACACAAATTACGTGGTTCAGTCAGTGTGACCTACGTCCACGGGCAGTTCAAGAGTTTCTTATTTCTGAATGAATAGAGATGATGATACAGATGCCTTTTAGCCTTATAACAAGGATAAAATATAATAGCCTCATTACAACCCAAATAAAGATAGAAATAGTAAAGAACAAGATATAAATTCAAGGCATCTCAACAATATATATATATATATATATATATATATATATATAAAAAAAAAAATATATATATATATATATAATAAAATTATATCGTAGTCTCATTTTTATTTAATTTCTTGTGTTTTTGGCAGGTTACTTTTTGTTGAGGTATAAACTGGTACATTGTTTTTAAATAATTTCTAATCATATATATGATTTACACATAATTAGATAAATTCTTTTTGGAATAATACAATTTAAGGATATATTTTAGTTAAATTGCATATCACTTCAATTAATTTATAGAAAACAAAATATTTTCTTGCTGATTGTGTTAATTGTTTAGTTTCATTATATTTTATTTATCAATTAATTATTGGAGATTAAAATAATAGTAAACAAATTTCATAATTATAAGGTTTTCATATAATTAGTAGAGTTTTATTTCTCATAAAGTGTTTTCTTTGTTATTTATTTGAAAATCTTCAAATTATCTTAATATAAAAAATTAAAAAGCCCGTAAAATTTTCAAATTTACTAACTTAAAGGTACTACACTATGTAGCATATGGATTCAGACATGGTACGAAGACACGACACAGACACGAATACAGAGATACGACAAAATCAAAAAACATAAGACATGTAGATACAACATATATATAATATATAATATAAATAACATTGTAACGACCCGTCATAACCTTTACACTCTGATAATCATA